CTCTCTCTCTCTCTCTCTCTCTCTCTCTCTCTCTCTCTCTCTCTCTCTCTCTCTCTCTCTCTCTCTCTGTTTCTCTCTCTTTCTCTCTCTGTCTGCCTCCCTTTCTCTTTCTCTCTCTCCTCTTGCTGTCAACGTCGCGCTGCCGCCACCGGGTGCGCGCCGCCCCCGCGACGTTCGCGGAACCGGTACGGTGGCCTGGGTTCGACCAATACGCGCAAGCCGGCGCGCATCACGGGCGTTTCGAGAGTAGGCGTTCTTCGTGGTCAGACATGAGCCAATAGCAGACACCGAGGTGGATCGAAACCTGAAGAGAGGAGCCCCTTCCGGGTCGCCAAGACCGCCAGATGGAGCTGGCTGCATTGCCCGAACCCGACGAGGAAGCTCGACGTGGTGGGGAACGAGGATGGTCGATCGGACGCGGCTTGGTGGTGGTGGGACCCGGTGGGACCCGAGCGGAACGTGACGACTCCTAATCGTCTAATTCCCGGGCGCGCAATGCGCGAATTGATTGGCAATACGGGTGCACGTGGCTGTGTGCACGGACGCATGCTGGGAGGACAGCATCCCTCTCACGTCTGCCCGCGACTCCTCGTTCCGCGAGCGAGCAAGCGCTGCTTGATTTAGGATTTATGATAGCGTCGGTGATACGCGCGACCCCGACGCTGATCATATTTAATTATCAGCGGGATTGGCGTGCGTGCCGGGACACGTGACTGGAATCTTGTGACTGCTTGGTTTTCGATTGAATGCTCGCGTCGTCGTGAGCGAGCATGCTGGCAAGTGAAGAGAAAGAGAGAAAGAGAGACTAGTAGATTTAAAGGGTTTCTGCTGCGTTTGGACAATGCACGAGTTATTTATCTGCAATGTGATGTAATTCGAATTCTGATGAGCTGAGTGGACAACTATTTGGACATTTGCACTTTTGTAGCAAACCATGTTCCTTTTTTTATTTGCTATCTGTTTGGAGGAATACTCGCAGGATGTTCCTCTAATAGAAGGGGTGGATTGTAGCGGAACCGGCATATTGAATCTCCGGTCTGAAAGAAGGGAGCAGAGCACGGGTGCAGTGAGGGTGGGGAAGCGCCTGCAACGAGCTAACAACACACGCGCGCACCTCTCTCGTAGGGAAAGAGATATACCAGAAGGCGGGAGGAGACAGAAAGAGAGAATTGAGTCGTCAAGCATGGGGTTTTTGCTGTTCGCAAACAGCGCTGAGCAAGCCTTGGGCGATGTATACGCGCCGCCATCTCGTTGTCTCTTACTTTATGTCGCTCTTGTTCAAGCGCAACGCGTCAACGTGGCTTAGTGAAAACAAATGATTTACCGAAAATGAAAGTAATAAAATATTAGGTGATAACAAGAGCTTTCCGTAACCATGCGTACGTAAACAGACACATCTGAGAAGTGAACTATTCACTGATTCACTTGTTTTTCTCGCGAACATGACACACACTTGTTAGGCCAAGTTCCACAACATCCGTTCAATTTTAACTACCGATTAAGTCCCAATAGTGATTGGTTAATTCTGATTAACTCTTCTTAATGTCAAATGCGATTGGTCAAGTCCAACGGAATAACCAGTTAACTGGAGGTTATGGAACTGGTCCTGATAAGGGTAGTAGTAGGGATCCAACTTCAATGGCGTAGAATTAATCGCGATGATTAGAAAATGCGAGGACCATCCCTAAATTTTTGAATGGCAGCAGTTACAGTGATACAATACGTTTGGTTTGCAGTCTACACGATCGTGACAATGTAGCTACATAGTGGGCCAACGATAGTTTAGGATTACACTAATCCGACGCCATGGCGACGATAAGGACTAGTGACAGCCGGATAGTCCCGTCGCGTCCTACAGCTTGAATCGACCCAAGGAGGAATCGTTCCGTCTGGGTCGTGGGGAGCCAAGCCGATTAACGAAAATCTCGTTACAGTTGGCCGACTAAAGCTCGGACACCCCTTGGAAATGGTTTTCACCAGCGGGGCTTACCGCCCTGGTATACGCGGACTCTTCACGATTCCCGGCGATTTTTCTCGCGGCAGACTTCATTATGCGCGTTGAGAGTGGTCGAATGTGAGGTGGAACAAAATCACCGAGTCAATTAAGACTCGCCACTGTTCTACCAAGCTGTTGATGTCAACCCAATTAAAGGAAAGAGCAGGTGTGATCATCAAATTGGCAACTTAGTTTGGTAAATCCATGAAGTTTATGACGTACATGGTCTGAATTATTTACAGGTTCGATATATGGTTAAGTTGATGATATGGCAACACAAGCACGGTAAATTCAAAAGTGTTATTTCAGCTGAATCTTTCTACACATTTTTTACCGCTTTAAGTTTTAATTAAAATTATAATTATTTTTAACTCCAACTGTATTTTTTGGTTGTTCTAACACGAAAATGATAGTAGTAACTTACATATATGATTATATATAGTTGGAATTCCAATTAGAACACCTGGATTTCCGGCTATTTGGCACTCTATCAGAATGACATATTTTTTTCTGGAAAGTAAACACTCTCAGCTTTCACAACGCGCTCTTGTTCGTTCCGAAATTCCAACGCTAACATTTTCTATCAATTAAAAACCATAACGGAAATCAGATTTTTGAAACGCTGTATTTCCGGAACGAAAAATCGGATCAGTTTGAGGTAGGTACCAAAATTTTTAGCTCGTCGAGATCTTTAAAATGGTATCCATTTCATCTATTGATTTCACTACCTCGAAATGGGGCACATTACCTATAGGCATTTGGTCTTCCTCTTTAATAAAAAAAATGTTTATACTTTTGACTGTAATTTATAGTAATTTATTTCTCTATGTTCGCAAGCCACTGTACAAGAGTTCGCGACTAAGTTTCGAACAAGAAATTTTTTACATTTATGCAAAATTACGCATGCGTGTGTGACGGATGGATAGTGGTCTAAAAGAAGCTAATTAGATGCCATACTACAATAAACTATAACGTAACAATAATCCTTTGTCGCATTCTGGTCTTCCCCCCTTTTCTCTCTCCCTCTCTACTCCTGTATCTGTCTCTTTTGTAAACTACCAGCAAGCGTGACGAGCAAAATGTACGAGCGTTTGCGCGCGCGCACGCAAATCTCCACTAGGAGGGGATGTCCCGAGCGTTTCCCCGCGATTTGCACATTAACGGGGAATAAACGACACCGAAATACAGCGCGGACGCGCGATCGCCATAATAGGAGCACCGAGTAGTCTATTAAGCGTCCTCAAAACCAGTTAGTGAGTCGGCAATCCAGTTTAGGTACAAAATGGCTGTCGTTTAGCGAGGATTAATGGTCTCGGGAGTGCCCCGGGGCAGCATAATGGGGCAGATGCGTTCTGGATGAGGGGGAACAACCCTCTCTGATCTCTCCTCCCCGCCATTTATATCTCGACAACCTCCGCGCGCCACCCTGCCCTCTTCGTGCCTTACCCCACCTCTCGCGTGGCCTCGTTATGTACACCTATCTGACTACAGACTCCATTATGCCCTTTTTGCGACGCTCCACGTACGCCCGGAGTATAAATACGATATCTGTGCATGTACGTGCCGGTACCTCGAAATTACGACCCGCGAACGACATTACA